TCCTGCTGATGTTCAGGTGTATATCAGTATGTAGTGTCTCTACTTTAAAGAGTCCTCTCCTGCTGATGTTCAGTGTATATCAGTATGTAGTGTCTCTACTTTAAAGAGTCCTCTCTGTGATGTTCAGGTGTATATCAGTATGTAGTGTCTCTACTTTAAAGAGTCCTCTCCTGCTGATGTTCAGGTGTATATCAGTTGTAGTGTCTCTACTTTAAAGAGTCCTCTCCTGCTGATGTTCAGGTGTATATCAGTATGTAGTGTCTCTACTTTAAAGAGTCCTCTCTGCTGATGTTCAGGTGTATATCAGTATGTAGTGTCTCTACTTTAAAGAGTCCTCTCCTGCTGATGTTCAGGTGTATATCAGTATGTAGTGTCTCTACTTTAAAGAGTCCTCTCCTGCTGATGTTCAGGTGTATATCAGTATGTAGTGTCTCTACTTTAAAGAGTCCTCTCTGCTGATGTTCAGGTGTATATCAGTATGTAGTGTCTCTACTTTAAAGAGTCCTCTCCTGCTGATGTTCAGGTGTATATCAGTATGTAGTGTCTCTACTTAAAGAGTCCTCTCCTGCTGATGTTCAGGTGTATATCAGTATTTAGTGTCTCTACTTTAAAGAGTCCTCTCCTGCTGATGTTCAGGTGTATATCAGTATGTAGTGTCTCTACTTTAAGAGTCCTCTCCTGCTGATGTTCAGGTGTATATCAGTATGTAGTGTCTCTACTTTAAAGAGTCCTCTCCTGCTGATGTTCAGGTGTATATCAGTATGAGTGTCTCTACTTTAAAGAGTCCTCTCCTGCTGATGTTTCAGGTGTATATCAGTATGTAGTGTCTCTACTTTAAAGAGTCCTCTCCTGCTGATGTTCAGGTGTATATCAGTATGTAGTGTCTCTACTTTAAAGAGTCCTCCTGCTGATGTTCAGGTGTATATCAGTATGTAGTGTCTCTACTTTAAAGAGTCCTCTCCTGCTGATGTTCAGGTGTATATCAGTATTTAGTGTCTCTACTTTAAAGAGTCCTCTCCTGCTGATGTTCAGGTGTATATCAGTATGTAGTGTCTCTACTTTAAAGAGTCCTCTCCTGCTGATGTTCAGGTGTATCAGTATGTAGTGTCTCTACTTTAAAGAGTCCTCTCCTGCTGATGTTCAGGTGTATATCAGTATGTAGTGTCTCTACTTTAACAGAGTCCTCTCCTGCTGATGTTCAGGTGTATATCAGTATGTAGTGTCTCTACTTTACAGAGTCCTCTCCTGCTGATGTTCAGGTGGTATATCAGTATTGTGTCTACTTTAAAGAGTCCTCTCCTGCTGATGTTCAGGTGCTACTATCAGTATGTAGTGTCTCTACTTTAAAGAGTCCTCTCCTGCTGATGTTCAGGTATATATCAGTGTGTAGTGTCTCTAAGCTTATAAGAGTCCTCTCTCTCCTTGCTGATGTTCAGGTGTATATCAGTATGTAGTGTCTCGACTTTAAAGAGTCCTCTCCTGCTGATGTTCAGTGTATATCAGTATGTAGTGTCTCTACTTTAAAGAGTCCTCTCCTGCTGATGTTCAGGTGTATATCAGTATGTAGTGTCTCTACTTTAAAGAGTCCTCTCCTGCTGATGTTCAGGTGTATATCAGTATGTAGTGTCTCTACTTTAAAGAGTCCTCCTCCTGTGATGTTCAGGTGTATATCAGTATGTAGTGTCTCTACTTTAAAAGAGTCCTCTCCTGCTGATGTTCAGGTGTATATCAGTATGTAGTGTCTCTACTTTAAAGAGTCCTCTCCTGCTGATGTTCAGGTGATATTCAGTATGTAGTGTCTCTACTTTAAAGAGTCCTCTCCTGCTGATGTTTCAGGTGTATATCAGTATGTAGTGTCTCTACTTTAAAGAGTCCTCTCCTGCTGATGTTCAGTGTATCAGTATGTAGTGTCCTCTAACTTTAAGAGAGAGTCCTCCCTGCTGATGTTCAGGTGTAATATCAGTATGTAGTGTCTCTACTTAAAGAGTCCCTCTCCTGCTGATGTTCAGGGTGTATATCAGTATGTAGTGTCTCTAACTTTAAAGAGTCCTCTCCTGCTGATGTTCAGGTGTATATCAGTATGTAGTGTCTCTACTTTAAAGAGTCCTCTCCTGCTGATGATTCGGGTGTATATCAGTATGTAGTGTCTCTACTTTAAAGAGTTTCTCTCCTGCTGATGTTCAGGTGTAATATCAGTATGTAGTGTCTCTACTTAAAGAGTCCTCTCCTGCTGATGTTCAGGTGTATATCAGTATGTAGTGTCTCTACTTTAAAGAGTCCTCTCCTGCTGATGTTCAGGTGTATATCAGTATGTAGTGTCTCTACTTTAAAGAGTCCTCTCCTGCTGATGTTCAGGTGTATATCAGTATTTAGTGTCTCTACTTTAAAGAGTCCTCTCCTGCTAATGTTCAGGTGTATATCAGTATGTAGTGTCTCTACTTTAAAGAGTCCTCTCCTGCTAATTTGTAGGTTCATATTAGTACTTAGTAGGGATGTAACGATATATCGAATATCGCGATACTGCAGTAAATAAATGTCGCAATACCGTCGTGAGACTGACAAAATATACCGCGATTTAAAAAAAAAAAAATGTATTGAACCAGATGGTCCCATTGAGATCATCAATCTCTTTTTCAAGGGAGACCTGTCCAGCATGGCAGCAAGTAGGTTACAACATGAACATACAACAACAGATAACACAAAAGGACATGGTATTTACAGGGCTACATGTACACACCTAGAGACATGGACAAGTACCAACAGTATATTTATATCTCGCCCTGTCAATAAGCCTCACCTTCAAACTGTATTGTTTTTGAAGTGGTGGAGAGACAATGCACAGTTTGACCCACTGCTGTCACCCATGGCCAAAGCATGTCTCTCTGTCCCAGCAACATCAGTACCAAGCAAGAGAGTTGTTTCCACAGCAGGGGATTTTGTAAACGCCCAAACATCCCAGCTTCTACCTGGAAATGTGGACATGCTCATATTCCTAAAAGATCACCTTGATGTGTGAGTGAGTGAGTTAGAGTTGAGTTACTTGAAAAACTAAAGTACAACTTGATTTATTCTATTGCAGGGTCTGATTATTATATTGTTGACACTTTAAAATAATACTATCTACTAAAATGCTGTACAAATCAGATTTATTATTTAATAAAGAAAAAAAAATCAAGTAAAAAAAAAGATTTGAGCGTTTGAAGTGTGAATAGAATACTTAAAGGTATAATATGTAACATTTCCACATGTGTAAAACTAGCCCTATGTTAATACTTATTTTAGTACATAGAAAGTAAAGCATTGTTTTAATTGTGTTAAATGTAGTTGTTTGTTTTTGAATGCAGATGTTTTGTAATAGTTCCCTCTCTCTTTCAGAGACGGTCACCATCCATCAGATGGCCTTCATCGTGGTGTTCTTCATGTTCACGATGATCCTCACCATCACCTTCTTCATCTACAGGTGAGCTGCTCCTGCTCACGTTACATCTATAAAATCAAAACTTCAGAACTCCAAACAACACACCGGTCATGAGTCTCAGTCACTTAGTGAAGCTTTAAATGTGTTCATCAGATTATTGTCAGCACTAAGACGGGAGGCAAACTCTTTGAGTTTAGAAACCTTGATTTTAAAGCTCGATGTTTGTCGCAGCGGTTATGTAGATACGGTGGCCGACAGGTGCAAACACGTTCCAGCGCAAATGTTCCTGTACTCACGAAGAAACATCTTCAGCAACAACACATGCAGCGTTTAGAAAACATTCTGCAACTTGAGGAGACATGCAGCGTTTACTAAAAGCTGCAAATACAAAACGCTGAAGAAGCTCAAACACAACGGAGACCAGGGGACACTAAAGAGTGACGCACACAGCTTGGAGACCAGGGGACACTAAAGAGTGACACACACAGCTTGGAGACCAGGGGACACTAAAGAGTGATGCACACAGCTGGGACACCAGGGGACACTAAAGAGTGACGTACACAGCTGGGACACCAGGGGACACCAAAGAGTGACGTACACAGCTGGGACACCAGGGGACACTAAAGAGTGATGCACACAGCTGGGACACCAGGGGACGCCAAAGAGTGACGCACACAGCTGGGACACCAGGGGACACCAAAGAGTGACGCACACAGCTGGGACACCAGGGGACACTAAAGAGTGATGCACACAGCTGGGAGACCAGGGGACACTAAAGAGTGACGCACACAGCTGGGACACCAGGGGACACCAAAGAGTGACGCACACAGCTGGGACACCAGGGGACACCAAAGAGTGACGCACACAGCTGGGACACCAGGGGACACTAAAGAGTGACGCACACAGCTGGGATACCAGGGGGCACTAAAGAGTGACGCACACAGCTGGGAGACCAGGGGACACTAAAGAGTGACGCACACAGCTGGGACACCAGGGGACACTAAAGAGTGATGCACACAGCTGGGACACCAGGGGACGCCAAAGAGTGACGCACACAGCTGGGACACCAGGGGACACTAAAGAGTGACGCACACAGCTGGGAGACCAGGGGACACTAAAGAGTGACGCACACAGCTAGAGACCAGGGGACACTAACGAGTGACGCACACAGCTGGGAGACCAGGGGACACTAAAGAGTGACGCACACAGCTGGGAGACCAGGGGACACTAAAGAGTGACGCACACAGCTGGGACACCAGGGGACACTAAAGAGTGACGCACACAGCTGGGATACCAGGGGACACTAAAGAGTGACGCACACAGCTGGGAGACCAGGGACACTAAAGAGTGACGCACACAGCTGGGAGACCAGGGACACTAAAGAGTGGGACAACAGCTGTCTCTGTCTCAGTTGCTCGTCTCAAAGTGTTTGTCAGTAGCTTTGTCCCTATTCAGCGTCCGCGTCCTCCGGAGGCAGCGTTCGTAGACCACTTGCGTCACTTCCGCCAAAAGAAGGCTGTCCCAATAAAAAAAAGACAAGATTCCTCCTTCTTTCCCCGGATTTGGACACATCTGATGTATCCTCCGCCGTCTACCATATCTGACAAGTGAGTTCTTTCAAATTAGATGGCGGTCCGGTCACTAATAAATGTGAGTATTGAGTTTCAACTTACTTTAAAAGAACTAACGTCACACACGTCAAACGCAAAGGGCATTGAAACGTAAACACGTGACGTTAGTGACGCTAACTAGCTAGCTGGACGTGCTGCACTGTTGGTTTACACCTATGTTCAGCTCATGCAGCTTTGAAGTAGGGCTAAAAGAGCCTATTGGAAATATTTCCACTAGATTGGATCATTTAGCTTAAGTGTATTTGGTTTATCCTAATCCAGTAATATAATAATGCATTTTATTTATATAGCGCTTTTCACAACTCAAAGACGCTTTACAGAATGAGGGAGGGTAGACAAACAAGGACAGGCACACAAGCAAGTAAACAATAAAAAGGCAGTCAAGAGGAAGTTGATTGAGGGAGGGGGGGCTTATGGGTAACAATGGGACAATCAGAAATGGACAGCAGCCTTTAGCTCTCTTTCTGCAGCGCTGTCACTTCTCTTTTGTTTAAACAAAAGAAAAACTGTAATTCATTTTAAAGAAAGCTTCAGTTTGTCTGTAATGCTTAGAGTTACATTTTGCTATGATCATTTTGCAAACCCTGCGTTTAATATTATTGATTCAGTTCCTTTGATCTTGTTTTCTCTGTTATCAGGAACAGTCAGGAGAAAAAGGACCCCCTGTGGTGCTGCAGAAAGAGAGACAGCGATCAGGGACCCCCTCCTCCCAAACCCCTGCTTCCTGCCGACTGAACAGCTGATCAGGGAACAGACTGCAGAGCGCGTCACTTTATACACTTTAAAGGTCTCCTATTATACTACTTTTATGCATATAAATATATCAACAACATGTCTCTGAAGTGTTTTGCTCAAAACACCAAACAGATCATTGTCGCCTCAAACCCCTCTCTTTCAGCTGTTACTAACGTGCTGAGTCCTTAGCTTTAAAAAAAACGAGAGACGAGATCTCATTCAGGAGAACTCTCCCAGCAGGAACTCAGCTAAATGCTGCTGTGATTAAACTCCATCATGTTCCAAACCACATCAAGGATCCTCTCTGAAACAGGATGGAGCTCAAACTCTCTCTCTCTCTCAGGTTTACCACGAGGTGACTTCCTTCTGATTTCCTGCTTCTTCACACACTCTCTCTCCAGTACAGGTTAGCTCTGAGTGTTAGCATGCTAATGTAAACACAGACCATATTACTTCCAGAACACGTCTCATTGTTTCTGACAGCAACGTTTCTGATTGGCCCGTTGGTGTAAATGTAACGGGTCACAGCCGTAAGTGACTCGTTATCGATCAGGAAACGGACAGCGAAGCATCTGAGTGAGTTTTCTGGCATTTAATCTGAGAACAAACATAAAATGTCCTTAACATCCACGTTGCACATCCTCAGCAGTGCTCACTTCAGTGTCTCTAGTATATATTGAGCTTATTTATACAATTAGAGAAATTATGAAATGACCAGGAAAATCTTATTTTTAAATAATCACACAAAATACAAACCTACCTGAGAACAAACACAACATGTCCTTAACATCCGCATTGCAAATCTTTACTGAAAGAAAAGAAAGAAACATATGAAAGTCTTGCCATGTAAATAAACAAAATGGCGCAGACCGCGTCTATTTCGCGCCAAAACCACACCGTAAATATCACCCAAAATGCTATTTATTATAATGGAAACTGAACAAAAACGGGTTAATAATGTACCCAAATTGACACTAAACAACATACATGACTTTATCAACTTCAATAGCCGGTTAACCGCACAATTATAAACCGCGACACAATTCCTAGCACTACTCACACTCAGCAGCACTTCAGTGTGAGGGGAGAGCGGGATGACATTCAGGAAGTAGACACAGAAGTGCAAGGAGAAAGTGTTCCCACTGGAAACATCACTCAAAAATATTAAACAATCTGATAAAGATAAAATTCACAACCTATTGTAAATCCTCCTTTATAAACTAACAATTATGTATTCACATTTTTGACTAATGTCGTCATGACGCAGCAAATCTGGATCAGCTCCGTTGTTCCCCGTTTTTAGAGATGTGGGTACGGAGGAAAGAGAGAGGGGTTTATCTCCGGGGACACACCGGGGACACACCAGGGACACACCGGGGACACACCGGGGACACACACCGGGGACACACCGGGGACACACAGCGGGGACACAGCGGGGACACACCGGGGACACACCGGGACACACCGGGGACACACCGGGGACACACCGGGGACACACCGGGGACACACCGGGGACACACCGGGACACACCGGGGGGACACCGGGGGGGACACAGCGGGGATACACCGGATACACCGGGGGGACACCGGGGATACACCGGGAACACACCGGGGATACACCGGGGACACACCGGGGGGACACCGGGGACACACACCGGGGCCACACACCGGGGACACACCGGGGCCACACCGGGGACACAGCGGGGACACACCGGGGGGACATCGGGGGGACACATGGTGATGTATAAAAGACATCAAGAAGTGCATTTTGCATAATAGGGGACCTTTAAACTAACAAATCACATCTGTAAGCCATATGCTGTACTTGTTACATCGCTGTTATCAGGTTATAGTTGCAATACTGTCTAGACACGTATGTTATTTAATCTAAATTGTGTTTGCTTAAATTCATCTATATTTTATCTTGCACTTTTGTGTGTCTTAAGGTCAGAATCAGATTTCTTCTGTGTCTTTTTTTTCATATATAATGAATGACTATAGCTTGAGTCGGTCTGATTCCCCAAAACTCTTATTTCCAAACAGCTGCTTTTCTATTGTTGTTGCATAATAAAAATAATAAAAAAATAAAACACTTGATCAACTCACTTCTGCTGATACTTGTTTTACTGCTGTTGGTGTTAAAGTCCATGATTTGCTCTGTCTTCCATGCTGCTCATGATAGAAGACACGAAGCTGCAGAGAGGATGGATATATTCCAACCTCTACTTTCTGATTACATGAAAATACGAAACTGAATTTAAATAGTACTTTTGTTTATTTCATTCACTGAGGTTGTAACCATTATTTACAACATGAAGTACATACGCAGTTGAATAGGTCATTAAACAGTCTAAATAAATATAGGATAGAAAATGTTTAATAGTATGTTCAGGAGAGCCGGGGTCTCGGTGCTGAACTGGTGTCAGTGGGACTTCATCTGGGCTGCTTTAGGGAAGAAGGAGAATATAAACTGTTATAAACCACAGCTAGATATTAAGATTAGAAAACTAATATTGTTCAGAATCAATCTATAAAACATGCTTTGGTTGGTTAGGTAAACAACATATTTCTATAGAACATCTAGGAGGATGAAACCCTGTTTAATGGTGACACATACATGCACGCAGCTTTCAACCCATACTGGGAGCAGTGGGCAGATATTGCACAGCGCAGGAGTGGGGGGTGTCCAGTGCCTTGCTCAAGGGCACCACGGCAGGGCAGGAGGTGAACTGGGACCAAGTAGCAGTCCACACTCCATATTTAGGTCTGTTCGGGGACTTCAACCGGCGACCCTACCTACGGCTCTCAGATTAAACTTAATTTAGATATGAAATGATATGATTAAATGACATCAGCTATATAGACACTGTAATGGCAACTTTAATGTTCCAATGCCCTATGAGCATCTGCCGGGCTGGTGGAATCGGTGTGCTCTCTTCCTCCTGTGTCCTCTTCTTCGTGTCACCTAGGACCCGTTTTATACACCCAGTGCAGCTAAACCCCGCCACCAAGTGTCCAAAAATAATATTGCAGCATAAATGGCTCCTACAGACACCTTATGGGATGCTACTAGTATATCTGAAATGACTCGGTTAGCTACGTCAGCTAGCTAGCTTACAGCAGATCTGCAGTAACATCAGAAGGAGTCATGTGATCACATCAGACAGTTGTCCCCCCCCCCCCCCCCCCCCCCCTGCAGGAGGATGAAGCTGGAGAAGGAGCTGGTGGCTCAGCTCTGGAGGATCTCCTGGGACGACATTCAGATGGGGAGCCTGGAGAAAGTGCTGCGGAGCGGCAGCAGGATCACACTGTCACTGGTCAGCACACACACACACACACACACACACACACACACACACACACACACACACACACACACACACACACACACACACACACACACCACACACACACACACACACACACACACACGTACACACACTTACACACACGTACACACACGTACACACACACACCACACACACACACACACACACACACACACGTGCACACACGTACATGCAAACACACACACACACACACACACATGCAAACACACACACATGCAAACACACACACACACACACACACACACATGCAAACACACACACACACACATGCAAACACACACACATGCAAAACACACACACACACACACACACATGCAAACACACACACACACACACACAGCAACACACACCACACACACACCGCAACACACACACACACAACATATATACACACACACACACATGCAAACACACACACACACACACATATATACACACACACACACACATGCAAACACACACACACATGCAAACACACACACACACACACACACATATATACACACACACACACATGCAAACACACACACACACACACACACACACACATGCAAAACACACACACACACATATATACACACACACATATGCAAACACACACATATATACACACACACACACACACATATATACACACACGTACATACACGTACATGCAAACACACACACACATACACACACACACACACACATACACACACACACACACACACACACACATATATGCACACACACACATCCACACACACACACACACACACACACACACACACAAAATGCCTGTAAAGATTCACTAATATCCTAAAAATTAGTGCAAAATGTTTTAAAAATAACCAAATATGTGAATAAAATCTGCAAAATACCCTAAAAATGCTTAAAGAGTACAAAAATATATCCTCAGAAAAAGTGGAATAATCTGAAGGAATCCCCAAACATGTGAAACATGTCTAAAAAAGGTCTGAAAACGTATTGAAAAAGAATATCTGAATAATGTGTAAGAAAAAACAGTAAAAACAACGAGATGAAAACACGAGGATATATAGAACGATGCATTGCTGCAGATTAAACTAACATTATATACAACATACATCAACGCTGCAGTAATCCACACATCATGTAAGATATACAACATTTTACTTTAGGTAATTTCACTGCATTTAGCTTCAGTGCGGGTTTGAATTCAGTTATTCCACCCTCTCTCTCTGCAGAGAGGCTCTAACTGCGGCTCCCTGATGACTGGGGATGGGAACATGCAGGTTTTTGCAAAAACTGGATATTTTAAGGTGAGTTTACATTAAAAGAAACATGTTATATTATGCACCACATATATCCCCTATTCCTGTCTATATTGCTATGACTGCTGAGTGTTGCACAGAGATACCCTATAATCATTTAGTTTAGGATAAGGCCACATTATCAGGGTGCAACAAGTCCTCCAACTCATACGACAAATATATCGATTGTTCAAGCGTTTTATTACGACCTATAATCACGTTTTAAAGTTTTCGACCCCTAGTGCTCCCGTTGATTGCAAACGTTACAGGGGGTCGTTTATTCACAAATAACCCTCTCTGTAAAATCCTAAATTGTAGGATAGTTTGGCCATTAAAACGCTTTTTGATTAGATTTCTAGCGAGAAGTGACTGAAACGTGACTCTGGGTCGTATTAAGCTGCTGAACAATCGGCCTATATGGTCGTGTTTTGTAGGGGGACAGGCTGCAGGG